ATCAAAAACTAATGATGTATGGTGATTAACATAGCATAATAAAAAATGTGTTTTCAGATTCATTTATGTATGTATACTTTCTAAAAGTATATATATGTTTACAGGTATGCATATATGTATAAGTAAATGTACATACACATCTGAAAGCACACTTAAAGCATAAAATGAGTGTGTTTTCAGAAATTGCCAGGTAGGTTCCAAGGTTGATGATTAGACTGGAGAACTAGAGTGATAAAAGGAAAAAAACCCAGGACAGATCATCTGGGACCACAGCCTTGAGACTAGTTTGCTCATACTGCCCCACTGCGTGCTTGAAGAAACAGTTGGAAGCACTGCTGGGAACACAGGATGTTCTTGTGATGGTAATGAACCATCAACCACATTTTGCTTCTTGGTTTCACTCAAATTAGATTAAACATCTCAGATGGGATTATCCAACTGGTGAAGCTCAGGTAAGCTACTACACTATAATGTTCTACCACCCTTGTTCATGGAAAGCAGAAGTCTAGCAATTTTTAGATTCCCTAACGGGAAATGAGGACTGAGTCCCGTGACAAGTCAAACAATGGCATTGTCCCTAAATACAGAAAGTGGGTATATGCTTGATTAAATTTACCCCCAAAGATCCACCTTGAAGGTAACCTTTTGATTATCCCACATATTTACACCAATTATCATCTTTCTGCTTCTCAAAGAAATGGCTGCCCATCACAATCCAACTATCCCTGATCTAACCAAAACCACACAGCTTCTTAGAGGAGACAACCCAATGTTATCAGTTACTGCATTCACCTCTAAATCTAAAATCTTGATTTATTGATCATTTTGTTTTATCCAATCCTGTCTCTGTGGTTTGTTATCACTGAGCTTCATCATAAAGTTAACTATATGTATCTAGAATGTACAGCTGCAGCTGGTCTGAGGGCTATGGACAGTATCTATGCCGTTGCTTTTACATGATCCTCCCTTGTAAGGGAGGATCCCTTGTATGCCTCTTGTAAGAAACACAGCTCCTTGGCTTTTGCTACATCCTGTGGTTTTATTACTTTGCTTGTGTTCCCTTCTCCTTCCATTTCTGAAGATTCTAACCATTTGTAGGTCCTGCAGTACGTGGTTGCACAAACTCCATTTGTAGTAGCCACTGAATTTCCCTTTGATAGGCAGTCATTCACCTAAATCTTCATATTTCACCCACTTTTTTTCTTTATTTAGGTAGACAAGAAGCTTAAATTTGCCAGACTGAAATGTTAATTTTCAGTTTAATAAAACCACTGTTGTTCACCAGGTAGAAACATTTCATTTTTTAATTTCTTCTTGGGGTAAAAATATGTAATTAAGAAGATCCCAGGGACTTGAGAAAAGGCATGTTTTTTCAAGTAGAATAGATATAACAGTGAGAAATATTGTTCTCTGAGTCTAAGCATACATGGCCCCCTATATAATAACATCCCAGCCTCATAAAGTTTAATTATCCATCCAGCTCTGCACCTAAACCCTGGTGAACCATCTCACTGTTTTAGGTAAGGGGAATTACTTTCTATTTAATGAGATACATTATAGGACCAATGGGTAATGCCATGGGTATCAGACCTTCCCTTATCATTTTGTTTGAATGGATTTCTTGGCTAGTAGCAAGATTGTGAGGTAAGTTCTAAGGAACTTTTATTTTTACTGAGGGTGTATATATAAATATGAACATGAATATAAGTATAAATATATTTATTTGTTTTTGACTGAGGTTGGTGAGAGGAAGAAAGATATTGTGCAAAATGGAGAAAGCTTTAAATATTCGAATATAGCATGGAGGGGCGCCTGGGTGTCTCAGTCAGTTAAGCATCTGACTTTGGCCTAGGTCATGATCTCGGAGTCCTGGGATGGAGACCCGCGTCAGTCTCCCTGCTCAGTGGGGAGTCTGCTTCTCCCTCTTCCTCTGCCCCTCCCCCCACCAGTGCACTCTCTCTCTCTCTCTCTCTCTCTCTCTCTCTCTCTCTGTCTCCCAAATAAATAAAATTTTAAAAATATATATATTCATATATAGCATGGAGATTTTCAAATAGAGGAAAATGTATGGATTTTGGAAAGGAATATTTAGAGATGGAGATAATGCTGGTAGTTTACCAAATGTGTTCACATATAAATAAGGATAATGGAAATGCACAAGTTATCTCACTTGGATACTTGGTGCTAGCCATACTTCCCTCAGTCCATCAACCTATTGCCAACAATTGATTAGGTCCTATTTGGTCTGACCTTAAATGTAAATAGTCAGCTTTTATCAGGGGTCATGTAGGTTTGCACACAATATAATATCTAGCAGGTTTAAATGGAATTAAAACCAAAAATTAGTATAAAAATGAAGAAAAGCTGTATTATAGCTTAAGATAATAGGTTAAGTATATTTATGTAACACACAAAGTTTCTCTTTATCTCAAGAATATAGCAATACTATTATGAGAAATGAGCCCAGCTTTTATCCTATCATGAATCACAGTGGTTTCTTTACTCTTCTCATAGTTATATTTACAAATATACAAGGAAATTGGTGATGAGGTTTTCCGAAGAATATGGGATAATGTTACTTTTATTCATCGGAAGGGATTTTAGTGTTTCAAATTATGGCTATTTCCTAAAGACATTTTTTTTCTGTCAACTACTTTTAGGAGATAAGAGTATTTCATAATTAATTCCCAGCTGTTTCTTGTTATGCTTCTAGTAATATATTTCTGTACTTTAACAGGTTGGAGGTAGTGTTACAAAATAAATGTAATCCACATTTTCTATTTGTCAAAGCCTTCTCTTTAGAAACATAAAACATTTTGAAATTGGAAGTTTTGTAAATTACATTGAAAGCAATAATTACTGTTGGAAAGGTTCATGTCCTGCTAGTTTCTCTGAAAGATACACATAAGTATAACATGGTTTCTACTTAAAGCTTAAGGAAAATAAACTTTTAGGGTGAAGGAAAAGTATATAGATAAATAAGCACAAAGCAGAATTCAAAGTGTATCACAAGGACCCATGTGTATATAATAAAAGAAAACAATATTTGAATTATTTTTTGAAGAATGCATAAGATTTTGGTAGGTAGACATGTGAATAGGAAAACATTTCAGATAGAAAAAACATTTAAGTGGGCCAATATTCAGAGACTGGAAAATTTGAGTTACTATTAGTAAAATACCTTTACTCCATTTGCATAGATTACATGAATGCTGTTAAAGTGTAGCCAGCTCTAACTAAGGCAGAGAAAGTGTGTGGTGCCAGGACATTTGGGGTTTTGAAAAATTAAGACTATGGAATATGGAACAAATGAATGAGACAATGGAAATGTTTAAGAGATTTTGCTTAAGGAAGATTGATTTTGCAATACCACAATCCATAAAAGATATTTAGCTGAAGTGTTGATAAAGATTAAAGGCAGTACTAGGACATCACTTCAGTAAGCCTATGACTGTATTAAATGTAAAGATGAAGAAAAGAAAATGATTGTAAACAAAACAAATGAAAGCAAAATCAATGCACACTGAAAGTAGAAAAGTACAAATGTAATTGCTGAAAAAATTTAGGTGAAAATAGAAGAATAAGACCAAGATGACTAAAGTCTCATATTTAGCTTTTGGGAGATCCATGGTCCATTATTGAGAGTTGTCAAAGGCATGATTTGGAGTCACGTCTTGGGGAGGCTGGTAAATAGGCTATAACTATCGATTTCAGCCCAAGAGTACTGAATGACTGTTGTAATATTTAATGACATTAATACACTGATAATGTCATTGCCTGAAGGACTTTGATGAAAATTCAAGTGAGATTTACCTATTTATTCTAAAATTGATATTGGGTCTATGGGAATTAAAAATCGTTTCTTGATATGATGTAGTTTAAAACTATTTTAATTATATTTTAAATTATTGACTCTGTGAGTTTGTTTTACTCTTATCTCTGTTGTACTCTCTATGCTTATTTTCCAAATATGAGCTACATATTTTCAGCTAACACAACACACACACACACACACACACACACACACACAATTTATGAGAGTAAGAGATGGTAACGCACAATATGTGTAAATAAAAGTGGTGGGGTTTTGTTTTGGTTTTTTTTAAAGTGGTGTTTTAATATTACCAAATTCCAACCTGGCAACATTTCCTACTAGTTTTGATTGGAGCAGACACATATGTTTCATGTTGTTTTTGTCGTTTTTCTATGTGTTTATCTTTAGAGAGGAAGTAAAATGATTCTTAGTGCTGAATTCTAGTTAACTAGGTGCTCAACTGGGTAATATTAGAAAGCGTGTAATTTTCCATCCAGATTTTTCATAAAGGTTAATTTCATTTCAGACCAAACGAAGATGGGAAATGAGTTCCTCTATTTTGTGTAACTAGGAGAAAATTTATGGCTCTGTCAATATTGCCAAGGCATTATCCATGCCATTGATTTATAAACCCCATGTGGTAGTCTAAATGGTGGGCTTCTCAGCCTCTCATGATGCCATTACTCCCAACCCCCAGTGCTACAGCCCAGAGCAACTCTTGTTCTTCTGTGTTAGAGCATAGGGGTGGGGGATGTAATTAGAACATGGTTGTGTCATGTGAAATCTATAAGGATCACTACATGTTACTTAAATATCTCTCCCCCCCGTCTCTCTCTCTCTCTGTCTGTCTTTCAGATCAACTATTTCCTTCAATCTAAGTCTCATAGACATTATTAGGCAAAACTATTCCAACATGGAGAGGTTTTTAACATGGAGAGATTTAAATCAGGTTTTTAAATAATGTATGTTTTGTTGACTTTTAAAGAAGAATTAGAAAATGTTTCCAAAGAGCATTCATGCCTTCAGTTTGCCTGACTGTTAGGGTATGTGAGGTGGAGGGGAAGTATTCTCCACAGACAGAGAATGGTGTTGTTTCCAGAGCACTGTCTTTTTCTAATTTTGAACATATTAATTATTTAGACTAATACTAGATCTTACAACAAACAAAACCACAAATTTCAGTAGCTTAACAATACATTTTATTTCTAATGTACATAAAATCTAAAATATTTATTTCTTTTATAGCTTGTGGATCTGCTGTCTTCAGTATGTAGTCTCCAAAGTACATTTGTTTACTAAGGCTACCATAACAAGCGACTGGGTAGCTTTAAATAACATAAATATACAGTCTCACAGTCCTGGAGGCTTGGAAGTCTGAATTCAGGCATTGTCAGGGCCATGCTCTCTCTCTCTGAAGGCTGTAGGAGAGGATCCTTCTTCCCTCTTCCTAGCTTCTGGTGATTTCTGGCAATTCTAGGTGTTCCTTGCCTATTAACACATCTCTGCAATCTCTCCCTCTGCCATCACACAGTGTTCTTGTGTGTCTCCAAGTTTAAGTTTCTTCTTCTGACCAGGATCCCAGTGCTTATAAAAGATATGAGTTGTATTGGATTAATAGGCCATTCTAACCTACTAGGACCTCATCGTAACATGATTACACCTACAATGACCTTATTTCCAAATAAGGTCATGTTCTCAGGACATGAAATTTAAGGTAAATTATTCAAACAAGTACACAGGTCATAAGGCTTGGCTACATTAATCTACAAGAGGGTAAAATAGCAAGGAATATCAGAGCCCGGGGAATGCTAAATGGATTAGGCCTACAGCTGATGTGTATCTGTGCGGTTCCAGCATGTAACTACATGGATGCATCCAAATCTGCAGAGACTGCTATCAATAGGACGGGTATGTCGCCAGGCAGCATTGAAAATAGGTTTCTGAGCAGGTAACCAGTATGTGTCACACTTGGTTCTTCCTTTTTTTTTTTTCTACTAATTTAGGATAATACATCTGGGAAACCCATAAAAGGGTTTTCGGTGCTTCTTTGAGTCATTTGCCTAACCCCAGCCCCAACTCTTAGAAAACAATTATCTTATTTCTACCTCTATAGGTTTATCTTTCTCACATAAATGGCATTGTACTGTATATATACCTTAAGACTTCTTTTACTTAGCATAAATCATTTGAGATTTATCTGCAATGTTGAGTATACCCATAGTCATCCTTTTTTTATGGCTGAGTATTCCAGTGCATGGAGATACCACAATTTGGGAATTAATTAAAATACTGCTTTTTATTTCTTCCTTCTGCTCTGTAAATGCAAAAATTCCAAATACACCAATTTTGGGGAAGGGAGAGCAAAAGACCATATGTGCTCTCAGAGGAAATACTGAATGGTGTTTGTAAGCCAGTGGCCGTCTTAAATCTGGATGTGTCCTTAACATGTGTGCTGGAAGCAACAAATTTATTACTTGATATTCCACAGCATGTTGCCTCTCATTAAACTGAGATTTCTTATCAAAGATAAACATAAAAGTATGCAATAGACTCACACAGTTCAAACTGGTAGTAGGTAACATGTTGACCAGTAAATTTTAATCCTCAGCGTCCCCATTTTGTAACTGACAAAACCAAGTAAACTTTTGGGCTGTGTGAACAGCCTCAGAGCTGTGGAGGCTGGAGAGTCTGGACACTCAGGAGCCACATAGCCAGCTACTTAAGGAGCCTTTGTAAAGTCAAATCGTGGGACTTATTGAAGAGCCTCTGGCAATGACTCCTGATAGTACCATGCAAAGAATGGATTTTACTTCCTCTTCATAAAAATAGAAAAGCTGTGAACTAACTTGACATTTCACACAGATACCTTTATTTTGGATGTTAAATCAACCACGCAGAAATCAAGCAGATAAAGCAACAGATTATGAGTTGCTGCTACCTGTTTAAAATTATTTTAATCTTGTGGCTAACAGAGTAATTTATATCTATATACGATCTCTTGACACATTGATATACTCATATGAAAAATCAATAGAAATATCACAGGCTGCCTACAGATGCACTCATTTTGTTTTAGAATAGGTTTCAGTTTGCTTTCTGTTTTTCAGTATCAGCTTAAGAAAATTAAGTTATTACAATGAGAGAAAGACACATAGAATTAATGATTTGAAGTTAATAGGTACTGGCTGCCTCCAAATCAATTTCATTACTGTGGGATAAAATAAATAACCAGAGAATATTACAAATTTCATTTCTGATATGCAAGCTAAATACACAAAGCCCCAAAAGTTCTGAGACACAACTTAACACATATGCAGAACATTTAATACTGGGACCATGCAATGAGTTTTCTGAGGGATATACTAATAGGTGCTGTGTATTATACATAAGTAAATTGCATGCAGAATATTCTACATGTCATATGTATTTCTTTGTAAGGTTTTCCCCACATTCTTATTTTTAGTTTTTTTTTTTTCTTCAATGACATCCATAGGCATTGCTTATATCATTTCTCTATTAAAGTTCATAGAGAGGGGTGCCTGGGTGGCTCAGTCGGTTAAGCATTTGCCTTCGGCTCAGATCTTGATCCCAGGGTCCTGGGATCAAGTGCTGCATCTGGCTCCCTGCTCATCAGGGAGCCTGCTTCTCTCTCTCCCTCTCTCTGCTGCTCCCCCTGCCTGTGTTTGTTCTCTCTCTGTCAAATAAATAAATAAAATCCTTAAAAAAAATAAATAAAGTTCATAGACGTCAGAACCATGTTTTGTCTGAGAAAATAAACTTGGTACAACAGAAACAATACCTATCTTCTCTGTCTTAGACCTTTGACTAGGGCTGGTCTAGGTTGAATCATGAGGTTTGATTTTGTTGCCTAAGACTATCCTTTTAATATTCACTTTCATTCCCTGTGTCACCTAAACTCCCTTGCACAAACTAGCCCCCTGATGGTAAGCATCTACATTTAATTTTTTCATAGTCTTAATATCAAGTTACTCTCAATATAAACTGTAGAAGTAAATAATTGATTATGAAAATCTCAGTATGAAATATTGCCTTCATTTTAATATAGGATTAAAGTTCTCTGATACCATATACTTGTTGTTGTCTACTTACAAAAGCAATCTTAGTCTACTTTTCACAAAGTATATTCTTATTCTACATATAACAAAACATCACCAAATCCCCAGATCCTTTTTCAAGTATTTGACATCAATGGAAATACGCCTTACTTGCTTATGTTTTAAGTTGTAGAATTCTGTTTATAATAGAAATATTCCAATGAAAAGCTTCCGAATGAAGCAAAACTGCTTCTTTCATGTGGCATTTGATCACATAAACTATTTTAGAAAAATGCCAACAAACTCTCATCCCGTACTTACTGCCCAACACGTTCACAGAGATTCTCCAGGTTTGTGGGATAAAGTCATTTCTCAAAAATAGAAGTAAGTCTCTTAACACTATAATTTTCCCAGTAGTAACCTAAGAGAAATGGTTGGTACCTCAGCACCTGACTCTGCTAGAGCAACCTGAAAGACAAAACAATGTCAGATTGATGCCGTGGAGCACTGGCAGAGAAAGTGAAACACGGCTATGTGTACTTTAAGGGTGAACTTTAAATAACAGGAAACGTTGGCAAGCTGCTATATAGTGGCTCTGTTTCTGGGAAATGGATGTACCATCTGCAAAGCTAAACTGAAATGACAAGCCTTTGAGGCAGAGAGTACATGTTCAATCCATTTGGCAGATAAATCAGGTCATGGATTGGTTTATTTAGCTGCAGTTTCGCATAAACAATATACAAGCAGAAGCGATGAACCATGGCTAAATTCAACAGGATATTCCATTTGAGGTTTTATCTATTCTCAAGCTTCCAACGGTCTACGGTCTCCCACTCCATCTCTTTGTTATGTTCGTCTCTGCCATGGCTACCAGTGGGTTTGGGGAGTTTAGATAGCAGGCTTTATTGGAACAACACATATTCTGTCATCAGAGAATACCCAAACCATCACCATTCCAAAACTTACCTAGCCATATGTTTGTAATAGAAGGAGATGTGTAAAGAAAAAATGCATATATAAAGAATGCTTTTCACATTTCCAAAAACAAAACAGAAGACACATACCTAGTCACGGGAGAAACGCACTTTCCTAGCATTTCATGGCCATGTGCATGCGGCAGGTTCAAAGAGCCCTCGATGCCCTGGGCAGCTAATCACTGAAAAGCAGCAGGCTCGCGCCTCTTTTACCTTTGACCCTTGAGCAGAATTTCACATTGTTTTGGTTAGTGTAATGAGATGCTAGGTTCCAGTTCTGCTTGACTTCTGCTTTTTATTTTATCGAAGTCCATGTCGGTCTAGAGAGCAGAGGCATATTTTCTTTTTCAGTTTTGATGAAAGAATGTGAACTACATTTCCCCTTTATTCTCTATGAAGGTCAAGGGGCAAATATGATAGAACATTAAGATCCAAGTCCGTTTTTCAGTTTCCTATGAACCTAAGCAACACATTCGGTTTAACAACTTAATTAAAATTGTTCTTTTTGTCTTTATGCTATCAGAATATTTCATACTCGTTGGGCTGTAGGAAAGTAATATCTTAATAGAGGCAGAAAGACTTTGTTTACTCCCCTTACAGAAATCTTAACAACAACAAAAAAAGTGCATTGTTCAGTTTCCCTTTTATTTTGACCAGATACTGTAAAAGGGTATACTTCTCTTTTTCTGTAACTGCCTAATTAATTTCTTGGTATTTTTTCAATATGGAATAATATCAGGCCTTAATAAGACCTGTAAAATCCTTAATTTTTTGCTTCTGTGTTTTGCCAAATTTGAGTAGCAAAATATTTCCTTCAATAGGTGGGTTCAATTCACACACACACACACACACACACACACACACACACACTGTTTTGTATTATATAATGATTTGTATTATATAATGTTTTGAATTATATAATATTTTGTATATTATATTTTGCATTATATATACACATAAACTTTGAAGACATTATAACTTGGTTCACTATGAAATCAATAAAATGATTTTTTGAATATAGCACTATGAGACCTATATATGAGAAAAATGTATATACCTAGCTACTCTTCAATTTTAATCTAGTGAAAAATGTTGATCCAAATACAATTAATATAATTGATTATATACTGGTACAGGTTAAATTTCTTTTCTGTTTCCATTATCCTTTTATGGTATGTCCTAAGCTGATAGTAGTGTATCATTACCTGCTTCTCACAGATTCCCCTTCAGGACCGAAGGCCTTATTATTCAATACTGGGAACGCTGCTACATGCTGTCCTCAGGGATCTTCCCCAGGTTGTGCCTTCTGCTGAAGAAGGCTGTCTTGCCCAAGTTAATGCATCCCTCCAGGGGGCTGCCCCATGTGAGGCCATAAAATCTTGCCCCTTCTTCCAATTGCCAGAGAACTCCAACGAGTAATTCCAGCTTCAGAGCTCACTGGGTGATCTAGGGCTTTCATGTGATGTCATTGAAGCTTTGATTCTCCTCCTGTCATATCCTGCTTTCTTCCTTCCCTCAAGAATTGTTGAGGCTGAGAGTACTATCGTGTAAGTTCACTGCACTCCAATCAATGCATTCAAGAACCTGACCTGCAACAGATCATACCAGGATGGGTTCAAGAAAGTAGATGTTATGGTGTGATGTTGAAGTTGGATTCCTCAGCATTCCCACTACCCAGGTGGCCACGAGGACCTCATCACTGACAGTATGTGGCCATGAGAGTCTCTGGCAGTTTGAAGTACAGTTGTTCAACTTTCATTAGTGGTGAACTGGGATGGGATGCCTATAGAATGAAATACACTTGTGGATGTAATAAAAAATACAATTGAAAAAGTAATAATTATAACATAATGGGTAATTAATTATGATTTAATAAAAACATGTGCAAAAGTCAGAGGGCCACCTTTTCAGAATATGAAGAAGTTCTCATTCTCTGAAGGTAGAAAGTAAAGAAAGCTAAAGAGACAACATAGAGCTTAATCATAAGAGCTGAAAATAAGGATATATTCTCAAATTAGGCAAGTGCGCTATGTTGAGTCCAGGACTATGATAGAAAAAATGAGATCCTGATTCAGGGAATGGTGACGTCTGGATTGGTGCCTTTAAACATTGTGTATCTCCCAAACCCATCCTACTGAGGGATGGTGAGTGTCCTCTTCCTTGAAGGTGATGCAGATGACCTTGCCTTGCAATAAAACAAGAGTCCCCTCAATATTTGTACCCATATTTCTTCATGCGGTCATAACATCCCCAGGGCTAGAGAAGCTCTAGAACTTCCTAGGGGAAAAAGGGGGACTATATGCAGAAGGAGTTACAGTACCTAATATGTGCCAACAGGTGACTGGTGAGTGTCTATGGGACTGGATCCTAAGGGTGCTGGATCGAGAAGAAAAAATGAGTTTGGACAAGGAATTGTTTATCAATTGGAAATATTCTCACAGGATCGGATCTAAAGTCCTGGCAAGAACAATAGAAGAAAGGGTCAAAGATTTAGAGAATTGGACATGATAGAACTTTTATTCTGTAAAAAGCTAAGAAGCCCACTTGGTGACCATAGCCCCTGGAATGGGACATAGGATATTATTGACCAAGGCAATCAGGATGCACTAGTGGTAAGAACACCAATACTACTGGAAAACTCACTGATGGTTGTTGTCTACAGGCAGGTCTGATGTAGAAGATACTGTATAGAAATGAGCACCCCAATAGCAAAGGGGTTGAAAAGATGATCAGAAGTCTGACGACAGTGATCATTATCTCTCCCTGCCAGTGAATTGCTGGAATGGACTTATTAGGGAGTTAGCACCATTCCCATGATGGTTTGGGGTCTATAGAGTAAGAGTTTCTCATTAGAAAACACTAAGTTAAAAGTTCTCAAACTCTTCCCTAAACTCTGAGAAAGATGGCAATAAAAGACATTGGCACATCCCACTTCAGTATCAGACATTAACATCACCCTGAATTAGTTATCTATTTGCCCACTGAAGAGTTTTGCACAAACTATTACATCTGCCTGGAAGTCTCTTTTCTTCTATTTCAACTCACAAAGTACTACTAATGTTTCAAACTGAGTCCAATCCTCACTTCCTTCCAAAGCTATCTTACACTGTTTTGATTAGGCCAGTCCCCCTTTCCATGCTATCATATCACATAGCTTTTCTCTGTGGGATTTGTCTTTCGCACACATGTTTATTTGATTAATGTACACTCTTATATCCTGGAATTGTAATTTTATCTCAGAATCTAAGACGGAGTCAATAAATATTGTGATGAATGACTTGATTATATCTAGTCTTCCTATAATTTGAACACAGGGAATTCTACATTGTTGTATATTTTGATATTTCTTACAGAAAAAGATGCTTATTGTACATCACAAACATAGATTTCACAGAAATTTCTTAGGAGAAAAAAATCTATTTAATATCCATCTTTGAAACAGGAAAGAGAAACGGACTTAAAACCATCCCAGGCTGCACATTGTTAGAGGCTGGAGTTGGGGCCATTGGCTGGCTGATGAGCTCACAAGTGTGGATAGTGCACTGTATGAGGGGCAAGTGTTTCACTAACACCGCAAGGGGCTCTATCCAGATGAGTGGAGTTTGATAGTAATTATTTCTACAAGTAAAACAAACAAACAAACCAAAAAATGAAAAAAACAAACAACAAAAATCATCTTAGGAACTAAGAGTAGCTTCTGGGAAAATTTAAATACAGGTAAAAAATAAATATTACATAAGATCTTATAATAAGGATAAACATGTATGAATGAATAAATGGATAAATATAATATGCTTACTATTCTGATAGAAATTCATGTGTGTTTCTACATGAGTACAAACAGAGTAATGTGTAACTTCTACCTTAGGAAGGTGTGTTGGTCTAGGAAGCATTTTGGAGAGGAAACAAGGTCCTGACTGATATATACACATGGAATAGAGAGCCAGGGAAATTATTTATTTAGCACAAGGCACAGTTTGAATTGTCTTATATACATAATCTTATTTATTATACACAACAACTCTGTAAATTAAATCCCATACTCCTACCTTAGAGAGACAGTGGGGAAGGAATTAATATTTATTACTGTGTAACAGGTACTGTACCAGCTTTATATATGTTCTTGCTTAATACTCAGAACAGTGCAGGAATGTAGGTCTTATTATTGCTGTTTTACATATGAAAAAGCGTAAGTTAAAGAGCAAATTTAATTTGCTGAAGGTCACAGACCCAAAATAATAGTCAAAACAGAATTTGAACCCAAGCTTGTTTGTTCTTGCTCCATAATGTGGCAAAGGTCCCTTTAGGTCAGAGAAAATGTGAATTTAAGGAGTTACAAACAAACTTGGCAGAACATCAGACCTTTATTGAATATATTATTCTACCTGCTGTACACAAGATTCCACGTGTAGAGAAGCTGTTGTCTAAGGGGGTCTATAGAAGTCAAATATATCTTGGTGTTTGGGAAAAATGGGCATTATAATGGAAAAGTGACAAAAAAATCATGTGAAGTCTTCCTATATTTCACTTTTTACAAGAGTTTTCAATTATGTACAAGTTAGAGATAGATGGGAAGAAAAATCGATATACAGAAAGATGACAGATTCAAATAAATAAATTATCCACATATTTTCAAAAAGCATAGAATTATTTCAATGTCTTTGCTTTCAAATTACAATGCAAAAGATCTCTATTGAAGAGTAACGTGCATAATAACTTACCTAGTAAACTCTGTTATTTTTAAAGGAGATTTTTAATTTTAAACTTTCATTAATATTACATGAGAGTATCTTATCATAGTCACACCCAAGCAGTTAAAATATAGGGTGAATGAAATAACATAATATTTAAAAGCCCTGGATCTTAGATCCTATAATGATTTATTTATGAGCCATCTGGTTGTACAAATATGATATTATGGTCAGATGTGCTCTATATGCATGGAAAGAAACAATTATTCAGAAAGAAATAATTAGGTTTTTATGAGTTACATCCCAAGGCAAGCTGTAGGATTTAGGTAACAGACTTTTCTTGCAAGTGAAAAGTCGTATAAATATATATTTTAATGTATATAATAGAATATTAGCATATATATATGTTTATATACATACGCACACACCTATTACATCACTTCACCATAGTAAGAGAAACTTATAAATACAACATTTTATCTAGGGGATTATAAATGCAAACAGATACAGTGAGTATGACTCATTCTGAGTTCTTAAGGGATGGCAGGGGAGCCCAAGGGAGTATGGCCTTCCATTTCTGTTATTACCACCATTAATCAATTTTTACCTCCCCATCTGTCACATGGCTATAGTGGACATGCACAAATGCATATGTAGGGTTATACATGGGATGGGGTGGGAGATGATGTGAAACCACTTCAGTTTCTTTTTGATGAAATCCTAATTCAAGTAGTGTTCATATGTGGATGAAATTAATTAACTTCCCAAACAAGTAGAAGGGATATAAATTATAACAAGCCAAAAGTCTTTTTTATAATTAAAAAATAGAACTCTCTTGACTATAGCCAGAAATCAAAATGAAAAGTATTCTCCAATCTGAAATCACTGTTGCAAGCCAAGGCAACTAAAATGAAAAGCAAAATTTGGAACAACTTCAGGACATCATGGACGTAAATGTGATAATAAGTTGAAAATACACTAGATCATAACATATAGTACATATGTTGTACACTGTACAGTTCCAGGATGCCATTTACATTTTCTATGATTTTTATGGTGCTTCTCACCACCATCAAGTTGTGTAACATGGAAGCCTTATCAATTTATACATTATGGGCCTCTATTATATCTATAACAGTGAAAATAAAAACTTAACAAAGGCCTATGGAAGTGTCAGATACTTGAGCTCTACACAACAGCAATTAAGAATACCATTTATATTTGTTTTTATATTAATAACCTATTTCTTTTTTACTATGCAAATGAATAATATTATCATCAGTTGAACAATGTAAATTTAGATCATTTGTACTACTAAATGAATATACATAGAAAATAGATATTGATTCTCACCTTAGGGAAAATTTGTTTTATTTACCCAAGAATTTTTTTTTGGGTGGGGGGCCGGTGGGCAAAAGCACTCAAATATTTGCAAGTATTTATTATTTCCTCCAAACATCCATATGATTCAAATAATTTATATCAGTGTGCACATAATGAGGTTTATGTCTAACAGTAAACCATAAAGGATATAGTGCAGAATTTATTAATAATATTCTATTTCTGTGTATTTATTTCCTGTAGAGTATAACAAAACCATCAACATCCTTTATTTCACCAAGTCTCTCATTTCTGTTTGTCCTGGCATAAAGAGATCATTATACCACTTCTTCACTCCAGGCCACACTCTTTCAAATTTTAAAACTACCTGTGAAAAATAGGTGTTTGATTCCTATTCGGATCTACCCAACACTAATGATACTATAAACCTCCTTATATAATGATGGAGTAGATTATGTATATAGCTCCCAAGAACCTGAGATACAGGGCTACCAGGCATCAAATAGAGTGGAAACTATTGGGGTCACAGATGTAAATTTATTTCAATAGACACTTCCCTTGTTTGCTTATTATAAATATTTTGATACTGAATATCAATTGAATATAGAATATTATCATTTTCTTACATGGTCTTGATAATTATATTTTCTTATTTAGAAGACTTTGTATATTATATACAAATAGTTTCAAGTTTCAAAGTTTGAATAAAACATTTTAACTTCTAAAGAACATGGGGCAGAGAGAGTTTATAATATATCTAGCTATCTAAATTGAAGGGACTATATGTAAAAAAATAAATAAATAAATAAATTGAAGGGACAAATGGGCAATTCAACAAGAGTATTTGGATACTTCAACACCTCACTTTCAATAATGGATAAAGCAACTGAGCAGAAGATTAACAAGGAATAGAAGATGTGAACAACATTATAATCTATTTAGACCAAACAGACATCTGTAGAACACTCCACCCAACAACATTTGAATACTCATTCTTCCCAATTGCAAGTGAAACACACTTTAGGATAGACCATACTTTAAACCATAATATAAGGCTCAATAGATTTTAAAAGATTGAAATCACATAAAATATGGTCTTCTACCACAATGGAATTAAATTAGAAACTGGTAAATTCACAAATTGGTGAATTCATAAATGCGTTGAAATTAAACAACACATTCACTCTTAAATAACTAATGGGTCAAAAAATAGTTCACAAGGGAAATTAGAAAATACTTGAGATGAATAAAAATGAACGCCACAACACACCAAAATCAAATTCTGATAAAGCAGTACTTAAAGGGAAATTTATATCTACAAATGCCTGTATTTTTAGTTGTTTCTTTAAATTCCTTTTGGCTTTTATTTTTTTTAAAGATTTCATTTAATTATTTGAGAGAGAGAGAGAGAGTGCGTGAGAGAGCACAAGCAGGGGGAGATGCAGAGGGAAAGGGAGAAGCAGACACCCTGCTGAGCAGGGTGCCCAATTCAGGCCCTGATCCCAGGACCCTGGGATCGTGATCTGAGTCCAAGGCAGACACTTAACTGACTGAGCCACCCAGGCACCCCCAAATGCCTATATTTTAAAAAAATAAAGATTTCTGACCCAGAACCTAAATTGTCACCTGATAACACTAAAAACAAAAGAGCAGGGGTACCTGGGTGGCTCAATCAGTTAATCAGCCAACTCTTGATTTCAGCTCAAGTCGTGATCTCAGAGTCATGAGATCAAGTCCCACATGGGGCTCCACGCTCAGTGCAGAGTCTGCTTGAGATTCTCTCTCTCCCTCTGCCCCTCCCCCTGCTTGTGTTCACTCTCTAAATAAATAAATAAATAACTTAAATCTTAAAAAAAAAAAAAAAAGAGCCGCATACTAAGCTTAAAGTAAGCAGAAGTAAAGAAATAATACAGATTGGAGAGGAATAAATGAAACTGAGATTTAAAAACAATAGAGAAAATAAAACCAAAAGTTGGCTCTTTGGAAAGCTCAACAATTAACTCTGCATTTTAAACTTAATTTCTGATTGAGGAATCAATTCTTTAATTTCCTGCTTCAAGAATTATATGTGTGAGCTAGCAGGTGGGAAGTATGTTCTTGGCCTTGGAGACTTAACTGGTATTCTTGAAAGCACATGGCAGAATAAATTTATGGCAGTGTAAATATAGTTAATGAGAAAACATTTTGGATGGACTGGATATATTGATATCTTTAGGATCCAAGTCACAAGAACAAATTCACTCCAAATATGTAAAATAATTCCTAAGGAAAGGAATTAATTATAGGGACAGTTCTATGTGTTTCTTCTCAGGGATGGGGATGGTAGTTGAGATGAGGTATACAAGTAGCTGAGAGGTACAGCAGCTGAGAGGTAAAAAAATAAAATAAAATTCCACAAAATTTGCGTGATTCTCTGGTTAGCAAACCTGAGCAAGAACAATGACCCAGTTTTGTTTTTTTTTTTTTTTTTGAAGTACTGGTCATTTTTCCATAAACAAGTTTGTCAAATTACAACTATCTTTCTATCGCCATTTTCTATAAATCAGGATTTTTATCAATCCTGATCACAATTTTTATCAATTGAATGATAAAGA